GAAAATCGTCTTTGAATTCCCGGCCACGTTTTGTGAGAACAATTTATTGACTAATGCAATTCAAAGAAGGCGGAATGGTGGTAGAAGAAGCTGTCGCTTTTGGATAAGGTACGCTAGAGGGATGCTGAGCAACAAGCCACCACCCATACATTATGCATGGTTTCTGTCTGCGCTGGGCAGGTTTGTGCATTTTATTTGCTCTTTCCTCTTGTTGCTAATCCGACCTTGGAGCCGTAATTCTCCAGGTACTAGCAGCAGCAGTGATACTAGCAAGAGCAGCAGCAAAGGATCCAGTGGTACTGGTAGTAGTAAGGAAGAGTGCAACTGCAGTGCTATCAGTTAAAAGAAGACCGATAGCATCACTGGTAGGAGAGAGCAGTAGTACTACAGATACAAGAGCATTTTTACACTTCTAGCGTATTCATCATTCCTGCAGTAGTGAAAAAAAGCGGTTGAAGAGAAAGATCAGCAGTGATATCAGAACGAAATGAAGGAAGATCTTTCGAAGGGAAAGACCGCAGTTGTCGGTTAGCCTCAGCAATAGGCAAGTGTTTTTGTTGATAACACCACGACCTGCATTTTCCACAGATCAGCAGGAGCTCAACTGCTGCGATCAGCATATCACAAAAACAAGAGAAAATGCATCTTATTGCTCGTTACTGAAGTGCAAGCCTCACACAGCTGATAATGATACTTAGTTATTTAAAACTAGCACTGTTATTATTTTCATATTGTTGCTGCGGCAATGATTACAACCAATACAGTGATTCAAACAAAGACGTAAAACACAGAAGCAAACAAAAATGGCTTTTTGTAGAAATATAAAGAGCAGTGAGGTGGAAGCAGAAGAATATCTTTGTCCAACACTCAGTTAACTGTGTTAAGCTCAGCGCACAAAGCAAAAGTACAGCAAGATGCAAGGAAATAGACTACGAGTATCAGGAAACCTGCGACGTAGTGCCCCATCAGCAGCGGCATGAAGTCCTTTTCCTTTAACCAGACAAACGCATGTAGTTAAAAAAAAATCTCACTTTTGCAATTTTTTGTCGGCTTTTTATTTCACTATTTACTGCTGTCCACAC